GAACCTCAATCAAGGGGCAGGTGCTTGTCGACTTTATAGCTGAATTTACCGGGGGTCTTGCCGATTTCAAGTCTAATGAAATTCGATGTAAGCCGAACTGGAGAATCTATGTTGGGGACATTTGGCAGCTGTACTGTGATGAGTCATCCAATCAGGCAGGCAGTGGAGCCGGAGTAGTAATCATGGCTCCTGACGGCGTAGTAATTAAGTAGGCCGTCAAACTCGGCTTTAAAGCGTCAAATAACGAAGCCGAATACGAAGCCCTTCTAATCGGTTTGCGGAATGCACATCTTCTGGGTGCTCGGCGCTTGCTCGTATTTTGTGATTCAAAACTAGTGATCAATCAACTGAAGGGAGAGTACGCAGCAAGAAATGACCATATGGCAGCTTACATGAAAACGGCTAACTCCTTGCTAGCAAAATTTGATCATTATGAATTGAATTAGATTACACGTGATCAGAACACGCATACAGACGCCCTGGCGTGCCTAGCCTCCGCCATTAACTCAGAGATCAAACGGACCATCGAGGTGGCTTTTATCCCAGAGCCAAGCATTGGTCCTTCGGAGGAATTCCAGGTCAATATCATAGAATCGAGACCGAGTTGGATGGATCCCATCGCCGCATTCCTGTCTTCCAAACAGCTCTCAGACGATAAGAAAGAAGCGCACAAGCTGCGAAACAAAGCCCTACGTTACTACTTGGATCCGCATGGAAAGCTTTACAAAAAGTCCCTTTCTGGCCCATACCTAGAATGCGTGCATCCGGACAAAGTTGAAGAGCTTCCGGCCGAAATACATAAAGGTAGTTGCGGCGCACATTCTGGCGGGCACTCTTTGGCCCATCGAGCTATAACACAGGGGTATTATTGGCCGACAATGAGATCTGATGCCGAATGCTATATGAAAAATGTGAACAGTGCCTGAAGTTTTCCCCCTTAACCCATCTGCCTGCTAAAGAGTTAATCTCTATCACCAGTCCCTGGCCATTTGCCCAGTGGGGGCTCGATATCGTAGGACCATTGCCGAGGGCCCCGGGCAACAAGCGATACTTGATCATCGCCACAGACTACTTCACAAAATGGATCGAAGCGGAGGCATTAACGCACATTCGAGATGCTGATGTCAAGCGCTTTATGTGGAAAAATATCACATAACACGATTCGGTATTCCAAAAGCTCTTATCTCAGACAACGGCACCTAGTTTGATTTTGGCGTCTACCGGGAGTTGTGCAGCAAGTATGGTATCCGGCCCTACTTTTCCACCCCGGCTTACCCCCAGAGCAATGGTCAAGCAAAAGTCTCTAACAAATCCATCTTGGACGGCATCAAGAAGAGGCTGGAGAAAGCTAAGGCCAAATGGGTCGAAGAATTACCAAGTGTATTGTGAGCACATCGAACTACGCCGAGGCGATCCACTGGAGAAACGCCATTTGCTTTATGTTTTGGAACCCAGGCAATCATACCCCTGGAGATCGGCCACCCAACCCTGAAATCGTAAGTTTTTGATATGGGCCGAAATGACACGATGCTGGCTTTGGAATTGATTCTGATCGAAGAACGAAGAGACCGCGCTCTTGCCTCCATGGCACGATACCAGCAACAGCTTGCCAAGTCGTATAATCAGCGTGTTCAGCTGCGCCGCTATACACTAGGAGAGTTGGTCTTGAAGAAAGTACTTCCGGCGGCCAAGAAACCGGCTAATGGAAAATTGGACCCCAACTGGGACGGCCCCTATCAGGTCGATTCGATCGCAGGGGTAGGGGCGTATCGGCTTAAAGACATGTCTGGAAGGAGCCTCCCACGGCCTTGGAATTCAACGCACTTACGAAAATTTTATCATTAAACCCGACTTGTGGGGAATGATACTAGTTCTGAATGGTTTAACGTGTACGTGCACCACTTTTGTAATCCAAAAATCGTTGTTTACTCACTGCCAAATCCAGTTCAAAAGTATTCTGAATAAATTCTCCGGATTCGGAGCGCCCTTCATGGATATCACGATTGGCCAAACAAAGTCTCTGGATTCGGAGCCCCATCGGCGCATGACGTCTTTGGGCCGATAAAGCCTCCGGATTCAGAGCGTCCTTCGTGGATATCACGATTGCCCAAACAAAGTCTCCGGATTCGGAGCTCCATCGGCGCATGACGTCTTTGGGCCGATAAAGCCTCCGAATTTGGAGCGCCCTTCGTGGATATCACGATTGGCCAGTCTCTGGATTCGGAGCCCCATCGGCGCATGACGTCTTTGGGCCGATAAAGCCTCCGGATTCGGAGCGCCCTTCGTGGATATCACGATTGGTCGGATAGTCTTCGAATTCGAAGCCCCATCGGCGCATGATGTCTTTCGGCTGATAAAGCCTCTGAATTCGGAGCGCCCTTCGTGGATATCACGATTGGCCAGATAGTCTCAGAATTCGGAGGCCCATCGGTACATGACGTCTTTCGGCCGATAAAGCCTCCAAATTCGGAGCGCCCTTCGTGGATGTCACGATTGGCCAAACAAAGTCTCCGGATTCGGAGCCCCATCGACGCATGACGTCTTTGGGCCGATAAAGCCTCCGGATTCGGAGCGTCCTTCGTGGATATCACGATTGGCCAGATAGGCTCCGAATTTAGAGCCTCATCGGCACATGACGTCTTTCAGCCGATAAAGCCTCCGGATTTGAAGCGCGCTTCGTGGATATCACGATTGGCCAGGTAGTCTCCGGATTCGGAGCCCCATTGACGCATGACGTCTTTCGGCCGATAAAGTCTCTGGATTCGAAGCACCCTTCATGGATATCACGATTGGCCAGATAGTTTCCAGATTCGGAGCCCCATTGGCGCATGATGTCTTTGGGCCGATAAAGCCTCCAGATTCGGAGTGGTCTTCATGGATATCACGATTGGCCAGTCTCCAAATTCGGAGCCTCATCGGCGCATGACGCTTTTGGGCCATAAAAGCTTCCGGATTTAGGGCCAGGGCCGTGCGTAACACGTATGCTGAATAAACATTTAATGAAGAACGCTCTGTTATGACGAGCCGGCTAAAACGGTTTGTACATTAAGGCATTTATACATTTGAAATGAACTCTAGACGGTCAATGTCTATCCAATTATCTAAAACACATTTATTCGAACATCTATACAATAAAGCACAAAACATGCAAACATATGTGTGCCGAACAAAAATTATAAAGAAACACGAACATTGAAAACAAAACATTTTATTCAATCAGCCAATGATTACATAGTTTTTAACGCAATCTGCATTTTGAGCATCACAATGAGTATTTTTATCCGGCGTCTCCCTTATCGTCACTCTTTTCGACTTCAAAAGTGAAAAATGAAAAATGATCACGCTGGTATAGCGGCAACGCCGAATCAACACCTTTTGCTCGGAGAGTCTTAGCGGCCTGAAGTGCCTCGATCCAACCGTGCCTAAATTCCCGGTTCTCGCATCGGCAAACCTCCTTCGCAAGTTTCTCTTTAGTTTTGTCGATCCCAACCTTCCGGCCCGCATGGAAGCCTTGTTCGTAACCCATGGTCCTCGCATTCTCTACGGCGAACATGCTTGTCGTATCTCGGTCGGCGATTGCGTGACTCAACAACCGTTGAGTCACCCTCTCCTCCACGATCGGGTTGGATTGACCCACCGCACGCAGCTCGGTGGTTTGAGCCTTCCTAAGCTCCCTGAGCTCACGCCCGGCCTTCTCCGCGCGAGCCTCCAAACTGTGAATTCTCTCGTCTTTCTTCTCTATTTCTCGTCACGTGGCGTGCAGGCGCATGCCGACCTCATAAACGGTGTACAGCCCCTTCACCGCCCCATGGATACCTTTTCGAAATACTTCGAAATTTTGTCGTCCAACCATTGATTGCTGGATTTCCGGTGGAAAGATCTGTCGAGCAAACTCGACCGCCACACCCGGATCCTTGATGATGGAATCTGCCTCCGTCATCGGTTTATTCCCCACGAAAATCGCAAAACCCAATGGTCGTGGCGCCGCGTCTGGCTTGTTCCTTGGTCGCGTTTGCGGGGAGCTTCCCCGTTCCTGTTTTTCTTTCCGGGATGATCTGCTTCGACGACTTGGGGGCTGGCGTTTTTCCCGTTCCTTGGACGTCCTTCCTCCTGTGCGTGTAGGCTCGCCACTGCGATTCATTACAGTGTCTAGCTCCACTAATGTTCGTCCTTCTCCTCTGCCGTTGAAGAACAGTCTGTTTGACATTCGCACTTACCCCAAGCTAGTTTAAATCAAGTATGAATAAGAATAAATGGAATCACTAGCACGAGCTCACCCCATTTATTCTTACTGTATGTAGCGCCCCCGAGGCGATATCTTTAATGCCAAGCACCAAAAGTCGGACGCTGATCGGATCATTCCATGAACTAGTCCTAGCTCATGCACTGACTGGGGCAAAGGCAGATTTATTAATCCGATCGGTCAAGTATCTAAACCCAATGCCGATCGTTTTATGCCTCAGCCACTCCATGAACTAGTCCTAATCGGCTTATGAAACTCGCATTGGCTGGGGCAAGGGCATATTTATTAATCTGATCGGCCAAGTATCTAAACCCAATGCCGATCGTTTTATGCCTCAGCCACTCCATGAACTAGTCCTATTCGGCTTATGAAGCTCATGCACTAGCTGGGGTAAGGGTAGATTTATTAATCTGATCGGCCAAGTATCTAAACCCAATGCAGATCGTTTTATGCCTCAGCCACTCCATGAGCTAGTCCTAATCGGCTTATGAAGCTCATGCACTAGCTGGAATCTGATTGGCCAAGTATCTAAACCCAATGCCGATCATTTTATGCCTTAGCCACTCCATGTACTAGGCCTATTCGGTTTATGAAGCTCATACACTGGCTGGGGCAAGGGCAGATTTATTAATCTGATCGGCCAAGTACCTAAACCCAATGCCGATCGAATTATGATACTTGGTATTGAAAGCAAAATGCAGCCATTTCACAATTGAAAGCAATACCATTCATCAATAACAAAATTTAGCACAAATAATAGCAAGGGAAAAAGGAAATTTTCATTAGTAAATTGGGCACCAATTGTAGCCATTTTACATACAAAATTTACTAAACAAAAAGCTACAAGTTCATACGAAAATGCCTAGTAAAAAACTATGATTGTAGCAACACATGAAAACGAAAAGGTGTGAAAGTACATTCGAAATCCTAAAACAAAAACAACAGTCGCCTAAATTAGTCCTCAGAGTCAGACTCCAGCGGCTCAACATCCACTTGCTCGTATGGAATCGGCATAGCCAATGTCACATCAGTAGCAACAAGGGCTTTGAGCCAGCCGTGTTTGAATTCCCGATTTTCAAATTTGGGGACTTTGTCTACGTATTCGGCGAATGCAGCACTTTTCCTGACCTCGAATGCCGTGGAAGCCTCCAGGTCGGTTGCTTCCTTCCCCTTCTTTATTTCTTCCAACTCAGCCTCTAGTTTGGAGATCGCCTCCTTGGCCAATTTAAGCGCGTCGTCGCTCGCGTCCGCCCTCTTCTCGGCGGCCGATCTCAGTTGATCAGCGATACGGGCTCTCTCCATCTCGGCCTCGGCCCGCGCGCTTTTCATCTTCACCCTTAAAGCCTCGAACTCGGCCCTACTCCTTTGTCCCTCAACTTCCATTTGTAAACGGCCAAGCTGTTCGACGGCGTCATGATGGCGACGGCCCATCTCGGCTATCCTTCCGACGGTCTGCAAAACAGGAAGTTAAGACCAAAACAGTATTTGCGTAAAGTGAAAAGACAAAGTCAAGATATATACCAAAAGAGCCGAATGCGCGGCCAACACTATTGCAACCAGATCCGGCTTCGCCCGAAAAGCCACCTTGTCAGCAGGCAATGAAACGGACGTAGCCATGCTTAGTGCGACCACTGGATCTTTAATTACCGAAGCATCGGAGGGGATCAGCGTGTTTTTTTATCTTCGGTTGAATAACAAAAGGTACAATCACATCCGATTCCTCCAAACGTCGTTTGTCGGTGCGGTCTTCTTCTGAGCCAACCTCGGCCTCGGCCTCGGCCTCGGTAGGATGCTTCTCTGCCCTTTGCTCAGCCTCTTGACCGGCTTGCACAACCAACTCGGCCTCGGTACTTCAGTTTTTTGTCGTTCCCTCCTCAATAACAGGCAAGGAGGGTTGAGATTCATCAACAGGCAGGGAGGGCTGAGATTCGACAGCTCGAATGGCCTCTGCTCTTCGCCGCGCAGCCATCCTTTCCGCGTTCGCCTTCTTGGCAAGTTGGGTGAGGCTTAACCCAGCCATATTTTCGGGGTACGCGCTAGGAAGGTCCTCTAGACCATGAAAAATGTCGTCAAGTGGAAGGTCCTCTCGGCCCGAAGTGGACGGAAGGTCGGCTGAATTGAGGCTGGCTTCTTCAAACGCTAACTTCAAAGCCTTGTCGACTTCGGCTTCAGACTGATCTGACTTGGTGACCTCAGCTACTTCTAGGCGCTCTGAATTTGACCCTTCAAAACCGACTTGCCTCAAATTTTTGAAATCAGTCAAGATAAGAGCGGTAAGAAACTCCTCACCCTTTGAAATTGGGATGTTTTCTGCCGCCGAAAAGGTCGTATAAGTCGGCTCGTAGCAGAGTAGAACGTGGGCCGCCCTTCCCTGTTTCTGGAGACTCGGCCGGCCGAAATATTTGAGCGCAACCTTGATTTCTGAAAGAACAGCGTCGTCGGTTGAGGTCAAGACTTTCTTCAAATCGTTTCCTGCACAAGCAAAATCATGAGGTCTCGAAAATGAAGCTTTATAAATATAACAAAAAAATAAATAAAAGAAGCTATACGGCCACCTAGTTCGCCCCTCCGTCTAGGAATAGGATTGAGGCGATCCTCACCTTCGCCAAATTCCCAGTTTCCTTGGACGACGGCCATAACATCGTCGATTTGCTTCCCAGAACTGGAAAGCATATTCACTAGTTGATGGTCGGTGTCCCTGGCCCTAAGGAAATAACGCCCGTGCCGACCAAAAGACTTGGCCAAGGTGTAACAATGCCGAATAGCGGGAATGCCAAGGTTAAGCCTAAGGCGACAGTTTAGTGTGATAATCCTCATTACGATTCTAAAGAAGTTGACATTGGGATGGGAAGGGATTAAGCCCCAATGGCAGAGCATAGCCCTAAGGAATGGGTGAAGGGGGAAGCGAACTCCACCCTTTATGATTGATAAAAGAGGGAAGACGATCGTGGTTTCATCTGCCCTCTCCATATCGAGGGTGCCGTCTGTCACAAGTGACAGACGGATGTCATCAGGAATGGAGAAATAGCGTCGGAAGCCAGAAATTCGATCCGAAGAGAGGAGATCTTTTAAATGTTTTTCCATTTCCCCCAGCCTATAGGAATATGCTAAGCCAGAAACAAAACAAGAAAAAAGATTCAAAGTAGAGAGAGAGAGAACTTACAAGAGGCGAAGAGGATAGTGAAGAAAAGGAAGTTACAGAGGTAATTCGGAAGGCAGTCCATTGCCGAGCGTCTAAAAGTGTGTATGTATTTGAAATGACGTCGAAATTTTAAATCACAATAAATAGAAGTGTACGGAGGGGTGGGAAATTGACATGATAATCGAGAAGCGTGTGTTCAGACATTTGCGTTGGAATGAGGTCAGCCGCTGAATTTCGGCTTTGACTTTTCGAGTTCGAAGCCAAATACTCCAGCCAACTGTCGTTAGTGGAGTGCTCGGGGGGCAATTGTGGGGGCCGAGTATTGGGAGTCGTAGAGATTCCGAATAGTCGAACTTGGAGAGTCGAAATATATAGCACTAGGCCTCGTCTCGCACGCTCGAATCCAATCCTACTCGGTCAAATAGCCGGTTAAGCAAGGGGCCGAGTGAAAAGTGGTTTGCTACAAAACATGCCGAATAGCAAATTGAAAATGGACCTAATCTTGAGGCCCAAGAAAGAAAAGATATAAATAGAAGAACATCAGCCAGAAAGAGGTACGTGAGAACCATTACACTTAACTTAAAATACAAGTAATTCAGAGAGTAGAGACTGACTTGCCCGTCGGAGCTTATATGTGGTTTAGTATATTTCTACTGGGCTGTGGCTCACCCTTTATGGGAACATCATTTTCAGGTCCAGGTGATAAGCTACCTCCAAGGACATAGCTTGGAAGGACTTGGATTTTGAAGATCATTTTCAGTTATTTGCTTTTATTTGTTAGTACATGTAAACACACAAGCCTAGGGCTTTATTTGTATTTGAGCTAGAACTCATACTTTTGTGTCCAAGTGTTGGCTTGGAAAGATGTAAGCCTGTAGGGCATTTAATTTGATGTTACATGTAATGCTTTGTTTAGTAAGACTCTGATGAATATTGTAATGAACTGTTTCTTTTTTAACATTGCATGTTGTTGTTATATATATTTAATGGGTTTATTTTTCGAGTGTTTAGTAAGACCCTAAGGAATGGGTGAAGGGGGAGTCGTAGAGATTCCGGATAGTCGAACTTGGAGAGTCGAAATATATAGCACTCGGCCTCGTCTCGCACGCTCGAATCCAATCCTGCTCGGTAAAATAGCCGGTTAAGCAAGGGGCCGAGTGAAAAGCGGTTTGCTACAAAACATGCCGAATAGCGAATTGAAAATGGACCTAATCTTGAGGCCCAAGAAAGAAAAGATATAAATAGAAGAACATCATCCAGAAAGAGGTACGTGAGAACCATTACACTTAACTTAAAATACAAGTAATTCAGAGAGTAGAGACTGACTTGCCCGTCGGAGAGCTAATTCTGGCATCCCCGACCGGAGTGTTAATTCTTTTTCAGGTGGCTAGCTGAGGATTACGAGCGTCCCCCAGGATCAGAAGAGTATTTCCAAACCACTTCTCCACAGACAACAACTTTGCTTTTAACCTAATTGATAATAAATTTTATTTTACAAATACAATATAAATGCAATATATATAATTATAAATATCTTATATAAAATCTATATAAATAATTTCTTTTTTTATATTTATATTCAGATTAATTATATATAATTAACTAACACGTTAAATTAATTAAGTAACACATTAAATTAATTAAATAACACATTAAATAATCATGTAACCACACAATTAATAAATTCAAAACTAAAATAAGATAATATTAATAATAATAATAATAAATAAAGATTTACGAAAAATCAGGATCGCTACACTGAATTTGTGTTTTGGTCGTTGACGGCATCACGAGCACATACCCACATCGTAGGCACGATCTCATGGATTGTGGCCTCTTTCATGGGCCACCATGAGCCATACAATTCTACTAGGCCAACAGACCTAAAGGCCATAATTGGTCGTGGCGTCTCGTGGGAGCAACCTAGCACCATCATGGGCTCAACCTTGCAAACAAGAAAAAAAATTATGCCAATGTGTGAAGCATAAACCAAGGTTCCTTGTGACAAATAAACTTAAAGAAGAGACAATACAATCCAAAATAATCGCCAACTCAATACCAACAAATATAAAAAGGATCGGGTCTAAACCCGAGCCACTATAGGAAATGTTTGATTGGTGGACTAAATTTCTTGATATTGTTTGGAATTAATAACACCATTAGGTTAAGGTCGGGATTAGTAATATATAAAATAAGTTATTTTAGTTGGCTAATTTAGCCTGGTTAAAAAAAGTTGTGTTTGAGATGATAGTTGATTTTATTTTTAGTTGATTTAATGGTTGTGAGAGATCTATAAAGCATAAATACGGATATGAAATACGGTTACAAGAAGATATGGATACGACAACACGACAAAATCTAAGAAAATAGGATACTAGTGCGGCTTGGATATATGTAAAATATATATATATATATATATATTTAAAAAAAGTTATTAGTAGTGAGTTACATATAAGCTCAAGAATTTGAGAAATCACATTTCAATTTTATGATGCAAAATACTAACATTTAAGAATTATGTATTAATTTAAGTTTTTCAATAGGTCTTGCAAACATTTTACTATTTCAATATCAAGTTTAATATGCTTATATTATAATAGTAGAACAATTCACAATTTGTCTCTATACTTTTTCCTTTGTCACTAATAAAAATGTTGTATTCAAGTTTCCTTGTTTATTTATTTATTAATATTTAATTTTACTATTATTATATTCTTTCGCTAATCGTTACTTTCTATGTAGTTATAACATGCCTGAAACAATAATAATATATCAATTTAACAAATTCTATTACTTTAACTTACTATGTTCTTCTTATCAAAGAACTAAACTAAGTATTAGAAAATATTCTTGTTTTTATCTTTACAATTATATTATATTATGGCCTCGTTTGTTTTGGGAGATGGAGAAGGGATTGTGATTGAGATGAAAGTGAGATCCACTAATGTTGTGTTTGTTTTAGGAGATTGAGAGGGAATTGAGATAGGTCTCCGGATTAGAATGAGCCGTGGAGAGGAGATTGAGATGGAGGTGGAAGAGTTGGTATTAGAAGTTAGTCCTCCTACTTAGTATTATTATTATTTTTTTGAACATTAATGTTTAATGTTTTTTTTTTTTTGTTAAATAAAAATTATAGTTTTATTTGTTTTAATATTTTATATTTCTTTTATAGAGTAATAATTTAACAATTTTCACACTAACAATTATCATCAAAGCAAATACAATTTTACTTAATCCCCTCACTATCAATCCCCTCATTATCAATCCCCCTCTATTCTACCTCTGAAAAAGGGCCCTATAATGCTATGTAATAAATACTACAATACTAATTTTGTAAAAGTAATATGTGACTTCGAGTATCCGATACTTCAAAATTAAGTATCCAATACTCCAAATTTAATGAAAAATTAATTAAGAAGTATCCGATACTTTTAACAAGTATCTGATAAGTATCCGTGAGTATCCAAAGATTATCGATATTTGATATGGATACGATACAGAGATGTCTCTCTTTTTGGAGTATCTGTGCTTTATAGTGAGAGAAAAAATGAAATGATTATAAATTAAATGTGACATTTTATTTTATTAGTTATTTAGTCTATTTTTACTTTTATTAGCTATTTTAATCAAATAACCTCTAGCCAAAGAAAGCCTATATATATGTTGTGAGAGTATTTGTACTATGGTTGTTTGGGGTGTCCTAAATAAGTGTACTTTTTGTCTTTTTGGACTAAAAAATTGACGAAAAAAATATGGATGTTTGGGTTAACTTTTTAACTTTTTATGAAAAAATCTGTAATAAAAAATTATAAAAATTAATTTGTAGGGAAAAATTTGAAAGGGAAAAATTATGATTGGGAGTTGTGCAGCCGTAATTGTTGACTTTTGGTGAATAGTGTTAACTTTTTAATTTTTTGAGTAATTTTTTTTACTTTTGGACTTTTTTATAATATACCAAACTTGGCCTTTATTATGATATAATATAATATGTGATAAAAGGAGAATAATTATTTTTTAACCAATGATGTGACATCCCATGGCTATGGGATTAGGAATACCATCAGTGTTGTTATTGGTAATCTCCCACCGATGGAGTAGCAATATCATGACATTATCAAGCCTATTCATTTTAGCCAATCAAACACAGTGTAGGGACAAGAAAAAAAAATAAAAATAAAAATAAATTTGAGGGGGAGGGGGGGATTACCATCAGTGTTAATTTGAGAAAATTATTACATGTGTGGAAAATTTTATAATTTTAATTATCGATATTGATAAAGTTTATCATTAATTTATAATTATTTTTCAAATTCTACACTAATATGAAAATTTTCACAAAAAATAAAATAAAATGAAACCTATTTGGACTCTGCATTTTATATATCAATCCCAATCCTCTCCTACTCTACCAAACAAACGAGGCTATAAAGTTGATCATTTCTCTTCTTATCCTGCCTAAAAAATTTGTTCTTCATCAAACACTGTAATACCATTACTCATCCATCCGAGCAAGATCTACAAGGCTAGCTAGCTATCTTCATGGACCTCCACAATGGCCAATTAGGAGCAAGAGAGTTGTTTCAAGCTCAATCCCACATATACAAACATGCATTCAGTTTTGCAAACTCCATGTCACTCAGCTGTGCAGTTCAGCTAGGCATACCAGACATAATTCACAACCACAAAAAACCCATCTCACTCCCTGACATAGTCTCATCACTCCAATTGCCTCCCTCAAAAATCAATGCTCTCCACAGACTCATGTCCTTGTTAACTCACTTGGGTTTCTTTGCCTCAACAAAACTTGATCCAAATCATGGAGATCAAGAAGGGTATGTCCTCATTCCATCATCTAGGCTTCTCATCAAAAGTGAATTACCCAATTTGTCCCCACTTTTCCAAACCGTGATCGATCCGGTTATGGTCGCTCTATAGCGACCCCGGTCTTTTCCCATTTGATTATTGTATCCGGACTTAGGTTCCGTAGATTCTGTCGTTGTATATTGTTGTTGTTGTCCTTTATTTTCTCACTTGGAATTATAGGATGTGTTGGGCAGGTTTGTTTCAGGTTGGTTGGGTTTAGAAACCAAGTCTTGCTGTCCAGGTTTTTGGTTGTTCGCTCGAGCGAGGAGTTTGTCACTCGAGCGAGATGTCTTTTTGGTTCTTCGCTCGAGCTGGGGTTTGGTCGCTCGAGCGAGAGTTGGCGTCCAGTATGGACTTGTAGCTTTGCATTCTTGGCTCGAGCGAGCTTTTCTTCGCTCGAGCGAGTTAGTTCATCCTTCGCTCGAGCTATAGTTCCTTCGCTCGAGCGTGTGTTTGGTTACAGACCTGAGGGTTTGAGTTCTTCGCTCGATCGAGCATTCTTTTGCTCGAGCGAGCTTTTGGGTTGTTGGCTCGAGCAAGGCTTCCTTGGCTCGAGCGTAGTTTCTCTGTGTCTGGTCGCTCGAGCGACCAAGTCTTCGCTCGAGCGAGACTGTCCAGTTTATATACACAGCAGCGGGATTTGATCAGGCTTTTTCATTTTCTTTTGATTCCAAACCCTAGGTCCGACTTCTCTCTCTCCCTACTCACCTTCTTTCTTAGATTTGATCCACTTAGGGTGTGTTTCTACCCTAGATCCTTCATTAAAAAGATAGAGTGAGGCAAGGGCTACCATTTAATCTGAACATTTGGCAATTTGGAGCATTTTGGTTTTTGGGCACTCATCTCTGTCTTCATCATTTGGGTTGTTTTCTCTGAGGTAGGGATTTCCTACTCCATTTTATAGGTTTTGATCTAAGTTTTGGTATTTTGATATGTTGGGGATACTTTGGTAATTTTGGGAAAAACCCTAGTTGTTTTATTAATTTAATCCGTATAATTAATTCATGGAATTGGGAAAAGATGGTTAAATTCATGGAATTGGGGAATTCATTGATTAAATGGCATAGTTGGATAATTTGAATCATTTGTCTAATGAATTGTTAACATAGTAATTTTCAGTTTAGAAATAACTGTTTTGGGCTATCGGTGGAGGATAGTCGTGATTGTTGTAGACATTGCATGTGGATTAGGAATAACTGAAACTAATCACATCGGTTAAATCATTAATTTTTACTATGGCATTGATACAGAAAATACGTGTATTGATTGAGCATTGCATTTGAAAAGTGCACTTATTGAGGACACCCCAAACAACCCCTAAACACACTGACTAATTTTTGACTTTCAGCTGTAGTTTAAAAGATTTGTAACAGACAAATGTCACTACTTGTAAGTTTTAGCGACAATTTATAAAAATCGTGACAAAAAAAAGTTAGTTTATCTATTCCTATATGGCCGTTGAAATCTCAACTTATAACTAGGTTCTTTTCTACGGATATCTCTTATGATATCTCATCTATTTCTTCCGAAAAATCTCTTGTAGTCTGATTATCAAAACTCATCACAGTATGAAAAATAAAATAAAAATAATAAAAAAAGCTGTGTCCTCCTTATTTCAACTTTTTGATTTGTTTAAGAGGAAATAAATGGGGAGCCATGATAATTCTCCATAATTCACTTTTTGAATCTCTCCACAAGTTGAGGGATTTGGAGAGAAAGGAGATGGAAGTTAGCCATTTTACAAAAACTGGTTTCCATTTTTATCCGTTCACATTATAGGAAAATTATTAAGTAGTGCTAAAGTACTATGTGACATTGTTCACTTAGTGCTCCCAACCGATGAAAAACTGCAAAACAAATTAGGTGGGTCATTCGTTATCTACCAACTAATAATTATTCTACATTAAACTATAACCGTTTTTCATTTCTTACCCTTGCCTATTGCCGAGTGGAAGTGGGAACACGTCACTATGGACTTCGTTGTGGGTCTTCCGAGGACTCAGCGGGGTAGTGATGCTATTTGGGTGGTTGTAGACCAGTTGACTAAGTCGGCGCACTTCATTCCTATGCGCGTGTTGGTGATGTGTTGCCACCGGGGTATGTTCCACGAGGACGGAGTGAGCTTAGTAGTTTACTTGCTAACCTTTCGATTAGTGAGGATGTTGAGACTCAGATTGTGTTGCCAAGGGTGGTTTGTGAGTACTCGGATGTCTTTCCCGAGGATCTTGTTGGTTTACCACCGCATCGAGAGATTGAATTCTCTATTGACCTAGTGCCCGGCACGGCACCGATTTCTATGGCACCTTATCGTTTTGCCCCAGCCGAGTTAGTTGAGTTGAAGATTCAGCTCCAGGAGTTGCTTAGCTTCAGCACATTTATGAATGTGCTAATGTCTTTGTTTCCTTTATTAGGATGTCAGGACGAGGACGAGGACGCGGTAGGCGTGGTAGGCCGGGTAGGCAGGAGTTGCCTGTGCCAGAAGAGATTCCGGCAGTTCAAGAGGGAATTGGCCAGGCCAATGTGGCCGAGCCAGTAGGCCAGCAGGCTATGGGCGCTCTAGCCCGAGAGATAGCAGGGGCATTCAGGGAGTCCGTAGGTATTCTCAGAGCTGAGAATCAAGCTCAGGTTGTTGTTGCAGATGCAGGACCTTCCTATTTAATGAAGGAATGGCCAGTGACTCAAGAATGATGGGCTTGGTAATTAGGAGTGAGGCAGTGTTTGGAGGGTTGAATTCATTGGTTCATGTAGGGGGTGGCACCGGTATCATTGCTCAGATCATTTCTGAGGCATTTCCTAGTATAAAATGCACAGATTTCGATCTCCCACATGTTGTTGAGAACTTGCCAGAGGGGAAGAACTTGAACTATGTTGGAGGTCACATGTTTCAGTCTTTCCCATCCGCGAATGCCATTTTCTTCAAGGTAGGCAATTATTTTCTGGATTATTTCCAATGTTTCGATATGGAAATCAAGTAAATTTTAGGAATCGCATCATATATGTAGGCCAATTTTTGTCTTTTTGTTTAATTTGATATCGAGTTACTTGAGTTGATCGATCAAATAGCCAAGTTCCAAAAAAAATCATTATTAAGGATTCAAGGCCATACATATTTGTACGGGAAAGAAATAAACCTTCTCGTATGATCCTGTTGATCAAGTTTGCACTCCTCCAAACGTCGTCGCTTTGCCACCTGAAAACACAAACGTGAGCTAACCGGCAGGTGTGTACCGGAAATCCCTCCGATGCCTAAGTCAGCAACTAGATAATAGACAATAAACTCTGTGTATTCTCGAGTAAGAATTGGGATACCTGTACAAAGGTCTGGTCATGAGCTTTTATGGACTTTACTTTGGCACAATCCTAGTAGGATTCCAACTCTCCCTATGAGAGTCCTCCTAGGAATCACACACCCTACTCACTACCAACCAAGTGAGATGGTTTATACAATCCCAGTAGGACTCTAACTCTCCTTAACAGAGTCCTACTAAGAGTCTCATCACTGCAAGCCAAGTGAGACGGCTGAACTTTTTACCTCGGTTATACATTCCTGCCCGAACTGATTTATCTCAGTCCCCTGCCCTTCGGACCGTGTGATCGAAAGCCGATCTAACGGATGCCACCCTGCAGAGCTATACATAGCTCGGCCCTTGCCATTGATGCTACCTCCTTTTAATAAGCTGCTGCAACCACACCGAGCTAAGTTACCTCGGTTACACGCTTAAGTAATGATGTAGATGGCGCCCGGCCGAGTTATACCAAGACCGGCCGAGCTATACTAAGCCCGACATCCTTTCTCACCAATACCTCGGGTAACCACCAGGCCCACTTATTTCGGCTGACATCTTTACCTCGGCTAACATTGCGGTCAGCCAAGTTACTTCGGCTCTGTGATACTTTTAGCACTACTATCAGTCTTGACTTCGAGATGACGCCCTGTAGAGCTATCGTTTAGCTCGGTCCTCTTTCTACCGATACCTCGGTCCATAGTTCGGCCCAAACCCAAAATATGAGATGTCTTCTTGGCCTAAGACCGAGCTACACCAGCCCTTATCGCGGTCCAACTCCCAAAGAAGACTCTTTCTAGCTCGGCCCAATTTGTTGACAAATTACCCTCTCAATTGCCCCTTAATTCTATCTGCATAGCATGATTGGGATTATTTTTCCTCTAGCCGAGCTAAGAAGTTGTTCGGTTTCACGGCTTGTTCGGTCCCAATAAGCTTTGTCAGTTGCTTAGCATGTCCTTCCACTAATCTGGTACGACGTTATTCCCAGGATACATGGCGTGCCCCCAATATCCTTGTTCTCATTGTTACCATCTTCATGCCAAAAATTTGAATAGCCCTGATTTTTTGCCTTTAATGTATATATCCTTCGAGTTTGTATACGTCGAGTCGTTCTTTCTGTGTCCTGTCGAACAAACTAACTCGGTTTATACGAACCTTGCCAACCTGTTTTGGCCGAGGTAACCATCATCCCGGTCAAAGAGTTCTAAAAATTTGTTGGTCAAACCTGCCAACCTGCTTTGGCCGAGGTAACCATCATCCCAGCCAAAGAGTTTCAAAAAATTTTGTTGGACATACCTGCCAACTTGTTTTGGCCGAGGTAACCATCATCCCAGTCAAAGAGTTCCAAAAATTTGTTGGTCAAACCTGCCAACCTGCTTTGGCCGAGGTAACCATCATCCCGGCCAAAGAGTTTCAAAAATTTTGTTGGACATACCTGCCAACTTCCTGCAGCCGAGATCCTTATCTCAGCTTAGGAGAAGTAAGTGTTGGTTTTTCCAGTCAATCACTCTTTAGCCGATATCCTTACTTTGGTTAAAGAGTACCAAGTGTTGGTTTAATCCAGCCAACCACTCTTTAGCCGATATCCTTACTTCGGCTAAAGAATACCAAGAGTTGGTTTAATCCAGCCAACCACTCTTTAGCCGATGTCCTTACTTCGGTTGAAGAGTACCAAGAGTTGGTTTAATCCAGCCAACCACTCTTTAGCTCGATATCCTTACTTCAGCTAAAGAGTACCAAGAGTTAGTTTAATCCAGCCAATCCACTCTTTAGCCGATATCCTTACTTCGGCTAAAGAGTACCAAGAGTTGGTTTAATCCAGCCAACCACTCTTTAGCCCGATGTCCTTACTTCGGCTGAAGAGTACCAAGAGTTGGTTAATTTTAGGAATTGCATCATATATGTAGGCCAATTTTTGTCTTTTTGTTTAATTTGATATCGAGTTACTTGAGTTGATCGATCAAATAGCCAAGTTCTAAAGAGAAATCATTATTAAGGATTCAAGGCCATACATATTGATATATAGAACTACTATTTATTTGCTGAATAGGGTAAAGTTCGCACAATTTAGGAGAATTCTAGCACATAGCTTTATTTATTTATAGAGTAAAGTGTTTGGTTATTCCGACCAAACGTCCTGCAGCCTGGATCCTTATCCTGGGCTTAGGAGGGGTGTTGGTTTTTCCAGCCAAACTCTAAGTTGGTTATTTCGGCCAACCTAGAGTAAAGTGTTTGGTTATTCCGACCAAACGTCCTGCAACCTGAATCCTTATCCTGGGCTTAGGAGAGCTAAATGTTGGTTATTCCGGCCAACATAGAGCTAAGCGTTTGGTTATTCCTGCCAAACTTCTTGATTGCCCCCTAATTCGGGCAAAGACTTGTTACGCTTGGTTAGTCCTTCTTTCCAACCGTGCTAACTTTTGCCGAAGGTGTTCTGTCCGATATCACTATTTGTATCGAACTCTAACTTGGTGTGCATCCCATCTTCCTCTACCAAGATGCGTTGGTGCACTCGCTCCATCAGGGCTTCCATAGAAAGAGGTGGCGTCATTGTTATTGAATCTCTCAATTTATGACCCACTGACAGACCTTTCTTGTACTGTGCAATAGCTAGGTTTGTAGGACAATCTGTTACTTGGTTGAAGGTCTCCCAATACCGATTGTCGTAAGACTTCAATGTTTCATTCTTGCCTATGCTGATGGAGAGAAGCTGGTCAATCTCCACTGGCATCTCGGTGTGTGTTCTGAATCTGGTTACAAATGCCTCCGTTAGTTGCGCCCATGAGGCTATACTACCTTCTGGTAACCTTTCAAACCATGCTAAACCCATGTCGCCAAGGCTGGACGGAAACATGATACACATTAAGGGCTCGTTTCGTCGATACATGGCCATAACCTGGCGAAAGTGGCTTAAGTGTATGTAGGGGTCTGACTCCCCCTCATAAGTTATGAATTTAGGCTGATGGAAGCCTAAGGGTAATGGTGCGTCCTCAATTGTCGGGATGAACGGTGAGCTCTGCAACCTTGCTCATGGTTTGTCTGCTGGTTCATAGGCGAGGCGTGGTTCTGGAATTCCAACCTCGACACTCCTATGTGTTCTAGGAGCCAATCGTTGTAGTGCGGAGACTCTGCGGGGGTCACGAGCCTGAGTGTCTTCTCTCATTCGAGCCCTTTCAGTCTTCTTTCTCTCAGGTCTGGAGTAGCGTCTCCTGGAAGTCTTTGATTGTGTATCACCCGACCTGAGGCTTCTACTTTCAGTTTGTGATAGTGTGACTTGTCTGTCATGATCTTCTAAGTGGCAAGAGTGTGTGTTGCCTCTGCTCTCTTTCGTTGCCACCCCTTTGCTTTTTATCTCGCTCTTCATAACTCTATGTCAGCCGCTATTCTTCTTATTACTTCGTCTTGCTCCTTTACGCGATCTTCGAGAACCTGATGATCCATCTTCCGCCTCTGTCTATCAGGGCTCCAAGAGCGGTGTGGACTTGAGCCTTGTCTTCTTCTTGCTTCTCTCCGTGGATTCCTTCGCTGAGGATCTAATTCCGCCATGGGTGGGATAGAAGGTAAACCTTCATGCCTCCCACCCCCTTCCGGAGTTTGCCCATCTATAACAGATTGCGGCAAGTCTTCATTGTGTGCCATATCACTGTTTGTATCGAACTCTACCTTGGTGTGCATCCCATCTTCCTCTACCAAGATGCGTTGGTGCACTCGCTCCATCAGGGCTTCCATAGAAAGAGGTGGCGTCATTGTTATTGAATCTCTCAATTTATGACCCACTGACAGACCTTGCTTGTACTGTGCAATAGCTAGGTTTGTAGGACAATCTGTTACTTGGTTGAAGGTCTCCCAATACCGATTGTCGTAAGACTTCAATGTTTCATTCTTGCCCATGCTGATGGAGAGAAGCTGGTCAATCTCCACTGGCGTCTTGGTGTTTGTTCTGAATCTGGTTACAAATGCCTCCGTTAGTTGCGCCCATGAGGCTATACTACCTTCTGGTAACCTTTCAAACCATGCTAAACCCATGTCGCCAAGGCTGGACGGAAACATGATACACATTAAGGGCTCGTTTCGTCGATACACGGCCATAACTTGGCGAAAGTGGCTTAAGTGTATGTAGGGGTCTGACTCCCCCTCATAAGTTATGAATTTAGGCTGATGGAAGCCTAAGGGTAATGGTGCGTCCTCAATTGTCGGGATGAACGGTGAGCCCTGTAACCTTGCTCATGGTTTGTCTGCTGGTTCATAGGCGAGGTGTGGTTCTAGAATTCCAACCTCGACACTCCTATGTGTTCTAGGAGCCAATCGTTGTAGTGCGGAGACTCTGCGGGGGTCATGAACCTGAGTGTCTTCTCTCATTCGAGCCCTTTCAGTCTTCTTTCTTTCAGGTCTGGAGTAGCGTGTCCTGGAAGTCTTTGATTGTGTATCACCCGACCTGAGGCTTCTACTTTCAGTTTGTGATAGTGTGACTTGTCTGTCATGATCTTCTAAGTGGCAAGAGTGTGTGTTGCCTCTGCTCTCTTTTGTTGCCACCCCTTTGCTTTTTATCTCGCTCTTCATAACTCTATGTCAGCAGCTATTCTTCTTATTACTTCGTCTTGCTCCCTTACGCGATCTTCGAGAACCTGATGATCCATCTTCCGCCTCTGTCTATCAGGGCTCCGAGAGCGGTGTGGACTTGTGCCTTGTCTTCTTCTTGCTTCTCTCCGTGGATTCCTTCTCTGAGGATCTAATTCCGCCATGGGTGGGATAGAAGGTAAACCTTCATGCCTCCCACCCCCTTCCGGAGTTTGCCCATGTATAGCAGATTGCGGCAAGTCTTCATTGTGCGCCATTGCTTTCAACTAAAGAGGAAAACTTGATCAAGAGGTTTTGCTCTTTGTGAATTTCCCACAGACAGCGCCAATTGTACGGGAAAGAAATAAACCTTCTCGTATGATCAAGTTTGCACTCCTCCAAACGTCGTCGCTTTGCCACCTAAAAACACAAACGTGAGCTAACCGGCGGGTGTGTGCCGGAAACCCCTCCGATGCCTAAGTCAGCAACTAGATAATAGACAATAAACTCTGTGTATTCTAGAGTAAGAATTGGGATACCTGTACAAAGGTCTGGTCATGAGCTTTTATAGACTTTACTTTGGCACAATCCTAGTAGGATTCCAACTCTCCCTATGAGAGTCCTCCTATGAATCACACACCCTACTCACTACTAACCAAGTGAGATGGTTTTGCACAATCCTAGTAGGACTATACTCTCCTTAGCAGATACCTCCTAGGAGTCACACTTCTACTCACTACCAACCAAGTGAGATAGTTTATACAACCCCAGTAGGACTCTAACTCTCCTTAATAGAGTCCTACTAGGAGTCTCATCACTGTAAGCCAAGTGAGATGGCTGAACATTTTACCACGGTTATACATTCCTGTCCGAACTGATTTCTCTCGGTCCCTTGCCCTTCGGACCGTGTGATCGAAAGTCGATCTAACGGATGCCACCCTGCCGAGCTATACACAGCTCGGCCCTCGCCATTGATGCTACCTCCTTTTAATAAGCTGCTGCAACCACACCGAGCTAAGTTACCTCGGTTACACGCTTAAGTAAGGATGTCGGGCTTAGTATAGCTCGGCCGGTCTTGGTATAACTCGGCCGAGCGCCATCTACATCATTACTTGAGTTGATCGATCAAATAGCCAAGTTCTAAAAAGAAATCATTGTTAAGGATTCAAGGCCATACATATTGATATATAGAACTACTATTTATTTGCTGAATAGGGTAAAGGTTGCACAATTTAGGAGAATTCTAGCAGATAGCTTTATTTATTTATTTATTTATTTTTTATTTATAATTAAACAAAAACAAGAAAACTAAAAGGGAAACTTAAAGAAAAGAACAACTATGAAGCATTTGTTTCAAAATTATTCTGAGAAACATTCTAAAACACTTGATGTTCATGCAAGTATTGTAAATTTAAGGCAATCAATTGAACTTGAATATATTTTTGGACTTGAAAATGGCAGTGTGTTTTGCATAATTGGAGCGACGAGGACTGCGTAAAGATATTGAAGAGATGTAGAGAAGCTATTCCAAGCAAGGAAGGAGGGAAGGTATCATCACAGACATTGTGGTAGATGGGGACAAAGATGAACATGACATTACTGAGACAAAGCTTGTTTTAGCCCCGTTTGGTAGAACTGTGGGAAAGTGATTATAACTTATAACCTAACAGCTTATAGCTGTGAACATAAGCTGATTTTTGACTTATAAATTAAGCTTCTTCTCCTCCACTCAAAGAATAAGTTGATTTTTGACTTACAAAAAGCTATAAGCTGTATTGTTAAGCTGAACCAAACACATCAAAATAGCTTAAATTAAACTAAAAGCTGAAATTAGCTGGAAATAAAGCCCTACCAAACAGGGCCATTCATGATGGTTTTGGCGATTGGAAGAGAAAGAAGTGAGAAAGAGTGGGAAAAGATTTTCTTGGAGGCTGGCTTTAGTCACTACAAGATCACACCCATCTTTGGTTTAAGGTCCCTCATTGAGGTATATCCTCAAATTATGTGGGGAAAATTTCATTTTGCCTTCTTATAGTTTTTCCCTTCTGTAAATTATCTCCTATGATTTAGAAATAATCACATAAACTTTTTATGATTTGTAAATTGAAGTGTACTCTTTTTCACCTAACTTAATGTTAAGTGTGGAAACACATGCTAGGATGAAAATAGTACACGGAGGTTAAAGTGAACTTTGTCTCCTAAAAAAATGACGAAAATGTTTATGATTTGCACAATGAAGTTACTTATGTATAAGTGTATTTTAGTGTTTTTACTTAAGCTTTTACTACTAAAAAATGCACGTTGCGGCCGTTACAAGCCGTTGCAAAAAATAAAAATACAGTCACAAAAGACATTTTGAGACGGCCATGCGACGGGAAATGGAGGACACAAATGTGAGGGTAACAAATACTTTTTACGACGGTAAAGCGTCGGTCACAAATTATTTGCAACTGCCTAACCTACTTATTGCATCTACTATTTTGCTGTGGAGAAAAACAAAAACAAAAAAAATACTTACTATGTTTTAGCGACTATCTTGTTATTGTTGCAAATAATTATTTATTATAAAATATATATATATATATATTACAACAAAAATATCAATTGCAAGCACTTAACAATTTTTTTTTTTTATAAAAAATTACATAAAATTAACAAATTAATTTAACACATAACAAAAATATTAATCTATCTCATATATATGTGTACCCATGAAAGTTACCAACACCAAATACATCTCATAAAGGTAAAAAAATTCTTACTGCAACAATTTTTCTATATATTGCGACTAAAATGAATCTGAAAAAAAAAGAAATATAAAAAAATTAGATATCAAAAGTTTGGTGACCTAACAACCTTGTCAACACACACACAATGTTCACCAAAATCTCCTCTCCTAATAAATATGCCCAAACCACCAAAATGAAGGATGTAACACCATGGGCTAAATGTATTTTTGTAACATTTGAAAACATGAACTAGAAAAAATAATACTACCTGAAAGTAGAGTACCAGATCTCCAACTTCCAGTTTTCCACATTCTGAAAGCTCCAAGGGGAGAGAGTATTCACGGATAGCCTTTTTCACATTTATCCATTCATCTTCCTCGGATCCAAACCCAATAAATCTTACCCGAGCCTCCTGAAATAAATGACAAATATATCAAAATTAAGAATAGGGAAAGTGGAAAAAAATTTAAGGTCATGGTTATTGTCAAAGCAATGTACAATAAAATGTGTTGATTGATATTAATGGTTTAAATTTCAACTGTTTCCACAAAATTATGATCCTCACTCTAAAAAAAAGTCAAACCCCATTAAAGAAATTCAATTCCTGGAATAAGCCTCCAAAACTATGATGATGTGGCCAAAATGAAAGCAAAAAATGACTAAGGTGATTTGTAATACAAAAATGTTAGGGATACATAAAAAAATTATCAAACCACCCATATGAGTGTGAGTATTTGATAATTTTTTAATAAAAAATTTGAAATCTCTAACATCACTGTTCATTAAAATAGATTGATGTACGACGCCCACAAAGCCTTGTACAAATTAGAGTTAAATAGGTTTGAAGAGCAGTACTCTTATTTTGTGCTTAGATTATACATTTATATAGCAATTGGGAAATGAATAAAGAAAAATTATATGAAATGTAAATAAAATATAACTATATTTTACATATTTTTTAAATTTAACTTTTCAAATTCATACCCAAATCTATAATTCAACGTATATTGTATCTAAATCATGAATTTGGGTAGAGTATGAATTTAAAAAAAAAAATTAAATTAAATGTACTATCTTTTTAAATTTCTACTCAAATCTATAATATAAACACAAGTTTATTAAATCTCAAGAAAGAATTCTAAATCTTTAGCACATAATATTAAAAATGAAAATTACACCTCAGCGGCAAATTTAGAAAATATTTACATATTAATGAAAAAAATTATAAATTCAATTATTAATGTTTATAAATTTCACCGTTGATTTAAAACTATTTTTAAAAAGAATGGGCTACATTGTAATTCTCTCATATTAAAATGCATCATCTCTTTCGCATCAGCAGGCCATATCTTTCGCTCTTATTTTTTTCTTATGGGACTAGCTTCTTCTAGTCTCAAATAGAACTGGAGAGGTGTTATTCGGCTTATTAAACTCATTTTTAGGTTTCATTTCAATAATCTAAACTGTTCATATTTTTGAATTTATTGAATACATCATCTTTGTAAGAAATTAACTTCATCAAATAACAAAACTATATATTCAAATAAATTTTGTATAAAAAATAAAATAAAATAAAATAAAATTCATACACAATTTATTCAAACAATTGGTTTCGTTAACCGCATGTTTTGGACTTTTTTGTTTTTGTTTTTGTTTTTTTTGGGAACTGATGTTTTGGACTCATCAGTGGACTTGAGTATCAGTCCTCTCATTTCATGATACTAGGTGGCCCCCCACGCGGGTCATGCTACAGTTTTAATATAAATATTTCTATAAATTGTGATTGGTTTATGAATTTGAGAAGTAGACTGTAATTATATTTTGTGTCTAAGTTGTTCTGTTTGTGAATTTTTTCTCCAATTAATAGAAATATGAACATAGGTATGTGTCATATCAAATATAAGTATATCTTTACATTTGCAATTAAAAAACAATTCTTGTCGATAATTCATCTATGTAATTTCTTTGAATAACATGACAAGTGATAATAAGTATTCTATGCAATCTTATCTAAACGTTACATATAAACATATTAATGTTGATGGTTTGATAATAATATGCATACAGTATACATCTTATAACATAAATTTAACCCCAAAAAATTTTGATAGCATTATACATTATAGTAGATATGTACAACGGAGATTTGTTTACAAAAGATAAGAAGAGGAAGAAGTATTACCTAGCGAATTACCTTTTTGGAACACACGTTCCGAAATATGGTACACTTTTGTTCCAAAATGTTACATTTGGCGGTCCAAAACAATTCCGTAAGTTTTTCCTAATATATTTCAAGGTTTGAAAAAATACAATTGGCCCCACACTTTATTGTGCTATGTTGGCTGATAGTGTATTGTATTCCATCATGATTTATTAGGTAATCGAAAATAGAAGAGGCAATTATTATTTTCCTCAGCATTAAGCATGAGTGTATGTCATGGCTATGTTCCCCACATGTCATAACTAATCCAACAAATGCAACAATACATTATTTCTTGGCGAAAATATAATATTATATGAATTGCTACACATACATTGAAGAACAAATCAGGCATCAAGAGAATGCCTGATGCAGTCCATTCTTGACAAATTTCATTTCTTCCATACATTAAAAAAACCAAAGTATTAGGAAAGAATCCATTTCTATACCCCAATTTTATGCCTTTAAGATTATCCATAAGTAGCAATGCATACCAACTCATGAAATATTTGATTATTTCAAGTATAACTTTTCCGTAGAAAATGGCCAACCATCAAATTCCAATACGAACTTAAAATTACCTGAAACCCAAAATTAAATGGACAGAAGCAGGTAAATCTGAAGCAAGTAAATTTGAAACAGACTTCAGTGAATATGGATCCATAAGCGAACTCATTTATCAGTCCACTGAGGAAACAAATGATCAAAATCTCTATCTTTTATTTAATATGTAATAGTAAATTCCGTAGGATAATCATTTCAGAAACACATAATATAGAAAAAGGATCAAAGCAATCCATGACAATTTAACAAAGACTATCAAGATCCAATTACCCAAATCAGGCGGGTAAACTTTTGTTCATTGAGACATATTGACAAACACTTGGTGTGCATCTATTTAACATTTACCTATGAATGAAAACTGTGTGGGTAAATATTGTGCAACAAACATATAAATAATAGGCATCAAAATACAGGTGTAATTACCAGGTTTTGCAACGGTGGAAGCAGAGCTTTGGATGACCAACTTCGACAACAATGCCGACAATGATGTGAAGAATAGTGTAATAGCAATTCTATCTCGTGAGAAATTCAATGTTTGATGCAGAAACACATGGCATGAAAACCAAAATCCAGCCAGCATCATGAGTGCGAGTTAAACCTGTGGGGCGGTGAGGTTTGCTCTTCGAAGTGGTGAAATTTGTTTTCATCTTCATTGTCGGCGTCGGTGATTTGAATCCCACGTGGGTAACCCAATATATGCAAGAAAATTTGGCAGGGAGAAGCTTTGGGAAATAGCCAGGAGCACCGGTGGGGGAAATTTCTAGGAGGAACGGTGGTATTTGTTTTCTTCTTATATTGTGTATGTGGATGATTTGAAGCCCACGTGTCCAATCCAAAAGCTTTGGAAGAGAAACAAACAGCAGCTTGAAGGAGTTAGAAAACAGCAGCGTCAAAAAAATCTGCAGGAAAAGCTTTGAAAGAGAAACAAACAGCAGCATGAAGGAGTAAGAAATTTATAGCAGGACTGATAACATTTGTTTTCTTCTACTATTGTTTGCGTGGATAATGTGAAACACATGTGTCCAGCCACAATCTGCAAGGAAAAAGGTATCACAAACCAAACAAGCAGCATGTTACACCAAAGCGTTACACCACTCTTACCTGTTTTTTATACGAGAAATGTTAGGGGTTATGAAATTTTTTTTATGAAAATGATTAACCTTGATTAGTATGTGCTATTTTATTCTAAGTGTAATCTAAAGGTTACAAACCTTTTAAGATCATTTTCATGAAAGACTTTTCATAGTACCTAACATTGTTGTTTTTTATATATGTTATAGATTAAAATCGTACACTCGTTTAGTTGGTGTGATAATTGACCAAGTATTCCCTCCTTGACTCTCCTCCTTAACTCCTTATTTGATGAGTTATTGGGTTTATTTTTTGGCCTAATTTTAATAATCCGAACCGTTTGTATTTTAGAATTTATTATATAAATCATACCTGTAAAAAATCAAATAGATCAAATGTCGGAAGAACTAAAAATAGTTTATTAAAAAAAAAATAATAAATAGTTTTATTGTTTAATAAAACTTTTAGGTCACATGGTTTTTGATATCCGATCGACTTGATTTTTTACAGATATTATATACATGACAAATTTTAAAATGTGAACGGTTCGGTTTATCAAAATTAGACCTAAAAGTTGGCCCAATGACCCATCAAATAGGAAGTTAAGTAGTGGAGTCAAAGAGGGGATCTTTCCTTGTGATAATTTGGTATTTTGAGAAGTTAGTAAAAAGTTAATTTTTTGACTTTTTTAGTCTTTGTGGGTAAAAATATAAAAGGTAATGTGACCTAAAATGAGTAAAAAGGTAAAAACTAACTATTTTTTTTTTTTGCTTCCAAAAAGACCCCAATGCCACTTGTCTTCATATGCTGGCTACAATTTATTCTTGTTACAGCACCGCTACAGACCCCTAGTGGGGGTCGCACCCCCAGTGAGGTGTCGCACCCCCACTGGCCGAAACTCAAAAAAAAAAATAATAATAATAAAACAGTTTTTTTTTTTACCCAATCAGCACCTGCCACCTCACTAGGGGTCGACCCCCAGTGGGGGTCCGAAGCATTAATCTTCTTGTTAAACACTCCCTTACAATAATGGTATGAACCAAAAAAAAAAATGTATATATATTTACAAAAATACTCAAAAAAGACAATATATAATTCAAATTTATTTTAAATATAAATCTCATTATATAAAATTAAATTTAGACTATACATTAGTTTTCAAAATAAAATTTTAAATATTTTTTTTATGGGTCCTACTTTTTTGCACTCATGTACCATTAGTCATCAATAAAAGTCAGTGTTGGATAGGGTTGAGTAAGGAATCCGTGAAATCTGTAATCCGATTCAGTCTAGTCAAATCCGGTAGGTTTGGATTGGTTTTTTGAATTCGTGGTTCGATTCCGGATTGAAGAATTAAAAATCCATAGTCCACGGATTGGTTTTAGATTGAACCACACGGTTCCGGATTGGAACTGATCCGGACCGTATACAAATAGTCTATATTTTTATTATACATCCTCCCACATAATATCTTGTCTTATTCCATATAAAATCTAAACTCAAACCTAAATCCACATAGTATCTCTTTCATTACTTTTGTTTGTTATTTTTTAGTTTTAATTAGTAATGGTCTAAATACGTATGGTAGAACTAGTTTTATTATGGTTGCTTAAATTCTAATAGTATGTTGCTATTATAGAAAGACATGTTGTTATTTTGGAATTAATATAGTGCTATGTTTATGTTTTTATTAAATTAAAGTGTGTTATATATTTTTTGTTATTTAATTATGTGAATCCGTGTTCCTAAACCGATCCAATCCTTGTTTGAATGGATTGGTTTAGATTGGTTCCACGATTTAAATGGATTGGATTAGTTTCAATTTTTCAGTAACTGTAGATAACGGATTGGTCTTGGTTTTACTTCAATCCAATCCAATCCGGACCATGCTCACCCCTAGTGTTGGAGACTTCATGGATCACCACCATCACCAAAAATGCATTATTATAATTGGTCTTTGTTTTACGAGATGTGATTGAAACCCCCTCAATCACCAACCCCCACCACCCCCCACACACACGTGGGGGTTGGTGATTGGAGGAGGAGGAGAAAAAAAAATTAAAAAAAAAATAATTTGGCCAATCAATCCAAGAGGGGGACGTGAGGGTGGGGAAAAAAGGGGTCCGGATCATTTTTGTTGTTTTACATTTAAAATTTTTATTACTACATATCAAGAAGCAATAAAATTATATAAAATTTATTTTTAGAAATGAAAGGACTGCAAACGCTTTTATCATTTTATATAAAAATTATGTACAAATATTCAATTGTATATCATTACTTATAGGAAATTTTTGATTGGCAGACTAAAATTTCTTGATATTGCTTGGGATTAATAACACGATTAGGTTAAGGTTGGGATTGGTAATATGTAAAATAGATGATGAGATATATATTGTGAGAGTACTTGTACTATATTTAATTTTGATATGATATAATATGTGATAAGAGGAGAATAATTATTTTTGATCATTAAATGATGTGATATGACTAATCCCATGGCTATAGGATTAGGAATATTATTAGGCCATGGTTGTTTGGATGGATATGAGCTTGGGATTGTATTAATAGTCCAACAAAATTATTAATCCGATGTTTGGTTAAATAATTGAAATACGGACTAACAATCCATCCAGACATGGTATCTCACATATAATGGATTATTCAATCTCACAGAGGGGAGTGAGATATAAATTTGAGAACTAAGCCAAAGTCCAAACTATTAGTTCTTTCTTATAATCCTACATCGATCCAAACATAGGATAAGACACATAATCGAAAGGGATTTGTAGTCCCAGGATTACTAATCATGAGAATATTAATCCAACCTAATCCAGTCGGCCCAAACCAACATAGCCTTAGGGGTGTAATTGTTAATCTCCCATTGGGGGAGTAGCAATATCATGATATTATCAAGCTTATCCATTTTAGCCAATCAAACACAATGTATCGTTTAAAAAAAAAAAAAATGTAGGAACAAGAAAAAAAATTTGGTGGGGGAGAGAAATTACCTGTCAGTGTTAATTTAAGAAAATTATTATATATGTAAGGAAATCTTATAATTTTAATTTTAAATATTAATAAAATTATCACTAATTTGTAATTATTTTTAAAATTCTGCAATGATATGAAATTTTTCACACATAATAAATAAATAAAAATAAAATTGAAATGAAACCCATGTTGGATTCCGCGATCTTACCATTCCCAATCCTCTCCTGGTCTACCAAACAAACAAGGCTATAAAGTTCACCATTTCTCTTCATATATATCCTGCTAAAAATTTGTTCTTCGTCAAACACACTAATACCATTACTCATCCATCCAAGCAAGGCCTACAAGGCCAGCTTAGCTATCTTCATGGATCTCCACAATGGCCAATTAGGAGCAAGAGAGTTGTTTCAAGCTCAATCCCACATATACAAACATGCATTCAGTTTTGCAAACTCCATGTCACTCAGCTGTGCAGTTCAGCTAGGCATACCAGATATAATTCACAACCACGAAAAACCCATCTCTCTCCCTGACTTAGTCTCATCTCTCCAATTGCCTCCCTCAAAAACCAATTCTCTCCACAGAATCATGTCCTTGTTAATTCACTTGGGGTTTTTTGCTACAATGAAAATTGATCCAAATCATGGAGATCAAGAAGGGTATGTCCTCACTCCATCATCTAAGCTTCTAATCAAAAGTGAAATGGCCAATTTGTCACCATTTGTCCAAGCCATGGTCGATCCGGTTTTGGTCACCCCATGGCAGTTCTTGGGAGATTGGTTTAGAAGCAATGAAGAAACAGCATTTGAGACTGCACATGGGGTTGCCATGTGGGAGTTTTGTGACAAAAACCCAAAATTCAATAACACTTTCAATGAAGCAATGGGCAGTGACTCAAGAATGATGAGCTTGGTGGTTAGAGACTGTGAGGGAGTGTTTGGAGGACTGAATTCATTGGTTGATGTAGGGGGTGGTACCGGTATCAATGCTCGGATCATTTCCGAGGCGTTTCCTGGTATAAAATGCACTGTTTTTGATCTTCCACATGTTGTTGAGAACTTGCCACAGGAGAAGAACTTGAACTATGTTGGGGGTGATATGTTTCGGTCTTTCCTATCCGCGGATGCCATTTTCTTCAAGGTATGCAATTTTTTGAATTCTTAGTTCCAGTGATTGAATCTGGTAATTGAGCAAATTTTAGGATTTGCATCATATACGTAGGGCAATTCCTCTCTCATCAAGTTATTTCAGTAAATTTCTGTCTTTTATTTACTTTTATTTTTTTGTGTTTTGGATTTAATTTGATGTTGAGTTGCTTCAGTATATATTGATCAAATAGCCGAATCCTAAAGAGAAATCATTTTTGATGATCCAAGATCCTACATATTGATCTATAGAACTGTTATTTATTTGTTGAACGGACATATTGATTGACGAAATCACAATTATACTTAACAATAAAACTATCTGAAAAGGTCATATACGTCAAAGAACTTTAATTTTCCACTCCTATTAACACCAAAAATGTGTACAATTTAGGAGAATTGTAGCAAATTATCATTTTTCTCCCATTATTTCTTTCATTAAGGAAAAACAAGGAAACCATAAGTTAAGGAGATGGCTGCATGTGCTCTGATTCATTATTTGGGCGATTTTATCCAATTCCTCGGTACTGACAATTGATACTAGAAAAACAGTTTTCAAGTATTTGTCGCTGAATTATTCTGAGAAGTATTCTATAAAGCAATTAATGTTCATATAATAAGCAAAGTAAACTTTAAGATAATCAATTGAACTTGAATGTGTGTTTGGACTTGAAAATGGCAGTGTGTTTTGCACAATTGGAGTGACGAGAACTGCGTAAAGATACTGAAGAGATGCAGAGAAGCTATTCCTAGCAAGGAAGATGGAGGAAAGGTTATCATCATAGACATGGTGGTAGATGGGGACAGAGATGAACATGACATTGCCGAGACAAAGCTTGTTTTTGACATATTGATGATGGTTTTGGTCACCGGAAGAGAAAGAAGTGAGAAGGAATGGGAAAAGATTTTCTTAGAGGCTGGCTTTAGTCACTACAAGATCACACCCATCTTTGGTTTAAGGTCCCTCATTGAGATATATCCTTAAATTATGTAAGGTAAATTTCATTTTACCTCGGCGTAGTTTGGCTCATTTGCAAATAACATTTATATGGTTTGTAAACTGAGATATATCGCTTTCCACCTAACTTAATGTTAAGTGCATGCCAAGATGAAAATAGTACATCGAGGTTAAAGTGAATTTTGTCTCCTAGAAAAATAACGAAAATGTCCATGTTTTACGCAATGAGATTACTTATGTATAAGGATTTCTTTTTCTTTTTATCTAGCTTTTAATGGGTCCAACGGTACTCTTTAGTGTAGAAATCATAAGGAATTATGTTCTTATAAATGATAAGGGTTGTGTGCAAATAGGTTAAACCATGAGGGACTAAAGTGAAATTTGTTCAATTATGTATTGTGAAACCTATATGACTCCTATAATAATTCTTGTTCTGTAAACTTGTTCTAGACTGTAAAATATATGCTCATTGCTCTGTTTCCTTTGTTTCCACATCTCTTTTAAACTCTAATTGCATTGGTGTTGGGTTTTTGGTCCGGTACTAAGATGAACAGTTCTAAAAAAAATTGGGACCGAGCCGCGCCGAACTGAGCCGAACCATTAGAACCTATGGAAATGAGCAAGAACCAAACCAAAGAAAAAGGTTCGGTTCCATGGTTATGGGCAATTCAAAATTAATCAATTTCCACAACTCAATTTCAAAAATTAATCTGTTAGAAATGGGCGCCCATGTGGCATGACCATTTGAATCTTTTGAACCTTATCCAAATAAGTTTTGATGGCATGACCCTTTGAATATTTTGAACCTTATCCAAATGGGTTTTGAATTCAAATTCAAACCTATTTGGATAACCACCCAGGATATATATATCTATCATATAATTGATATGGATGATATATCTTATATTATCTCATATAACTGATATGGATAAATGAGATAAACATATTATATATCTGATAATATGTGATATAGGTGATTAAGAGAAACACAACGTATGTTTGAACTTTTTCCCATATATTGACTCTCTCAAAAACCAAGATCAAGGCCATTTGCACTGTGATTTGTGTGGGTGATATTCACTATTATAATATCACTCCATTACTGGGTTGACTGATCAGATTCAGGAACGTGATTTACCCAAGAGATCCTTCAATTCAGACTCTGTTCTAGAGGTATGATGTACTTTTTAAGGGACATTACTGAGAAAGCGGTCATGTATGTTCAACTACTTTGGTTTTTTTTTTTTTAACAAAATAGAAAGAGAATGCAAGATGGGAGAATAATGAGATATATATTTTTTATATTAGGGAGCCATTTTATGTATAAAATAATATATATATATATATATATATTTTTAAAATTCTATAGTAAACAATATTTTTCACAGAAACAACGAAATCATGACCCCTCATAATCTTCTCCTAATTCCGTCTCTACTTCCATCCAAACTTTTTGATGAGGAGAGTGCCGAGCTAACTTAACCAAACCATCAGCCAACTGATTACCTTGACGCCTCACATGCGAAGCTTTGAAGCGTCCAAACGATCTACACTTACTCACAGCAAGCTGCACTATATGACCACAATCCGACAGCGATGCGACTTGACCTTGAAATGCCTTAATAATGTTCAAAAAGTCTCCTTCCAAGTGAATGTCATGAATCCCCAAATCTGCCGCCAAATCCAATGCCTTGTCTGCAGCATATGCTTCCACACAATCCACCCCTTAAAGAAACGGATTCCGATCTGCCCACACTATAGCGGACTACTACACCCACACCACGTGCCCGAAGCTCCTTGAACACTGCACCATCAAAATTGATCTTGAGCTAGCCCACATCCGGAGGTTGCCATTTGATGTCCGTCCCACTTTGTCTCCGGCCTGTTACTGCGGTCTGCACTTGAACACAATCACTGAGAAGATATCACCCCATCACTACAAAAATTTAAGTTTTAGAGATCAAAATTTAGGGATAAAATTATTTTTTAGAGACCAAATATTTTTGTTGCGAAAAATGCCGTTATTATATTTTTAGCAACAAAAATTAGACATTAGAGATGAATTATTATCTTTTTAGGACTAAATTTTTTGTCTCAAAAAATAAATCATTTTGAGACCAAATTATTTCGTCCTTAAAAGTCTATTTATTAGTAACATTTTCAAAATTTTATTGCTAAAATCCTGGTTTTGGACTTTTCGGAACGACCTTTTAGCGACTATCTTCATGATAATAAAAATTAGTCCTTAAATGTCTTTTGTAACAAAATTTTCACTTTTAGAGATCAAAATATTTAGTCTCTAAAATTCTTATATGTTGGAGCGCTATCTTCAATGGATCTATGCAAATGATAGCCCGATCTTACCGAATACACACCACCTCTTATAATAATGCCACACAAACTCATCAGAGGGAAAGATTGGACATATTGGAATTTCATCCAACTCGAAAAAATAATGTCGGATCACATTCATATCCCAACACTTCCGATCCCGATCAATTAAACAACTAACCATGGCCTAGGCACCCATTTATCTCTAAACACAAGAATGTTCGCCCCATTACCATCCCTTCATCTCACCCCAGCCTCAAGAAGAGGTTTCGCATGCATAATGCTCCTCCAGGTGTATGACGGATTTATTCCCAACTCGGCCCTTAGAAATGACGAGCTCGGAAGATATTTGGCTTCTATCATTTTGCCCAAGATAGAGTTTGGATGTTGAACCAGCCACCATCCCTGTTTGGCTAACATAGAAAAACCTGCTACCCCGTTTGGCTAGCAATGGTTCTACTAGGCATGTCAGAATTTGTAAATATAAATTTTGAAACATTATGTATTTTGATATATTTTAAAATTCATGTTATAAATGTTTACTGTTTAGTTTCTGAACTAAACGATATTGATTATTTGAAAAGTAGATTTCTATTTTCAATCTGTATTCTAGATTGTTAATTGCACATTTTATTTAAATGAAACCTCCAATTAATGCATAACAAGATAATTAAGAGAAAATAATATAAGAAAAAGAAATATTTTATAGAAATTATTGTGGGTTTTAAACCTTTCAATACAAAGTACAATTCTTAGGTTTAGAATCCTTTTTTTATTAATCACCATTATGCGTTTATAGCGTAGCCTCTTGAGTTTTCTGGGTTTTCTGGGTTTCTCCTCTTCTTTCATGTGAAGATTTCTTTAACTTGTGATTTATCTCTCTCTCTCTCTCTCTCTCTCTCTCTCTCTCTCTCTCTCTCTAACTTTTGATTTTTGATTTTTTAGTCCCCTTTTTGCGTGATGATCCCTCATATTTATAGAGGTCATCCAGATGATAAGAGGGTCTTATCCTTAATTTGAATTTTAAATTGAATGATAATGCCATTTGAATTTTGAATGATAGCGCCATTTGAATTTAGATGTAACCATATCTAATTAAATATATATATCTAATTAGTCGTATTGATCCTTTGGATTTCATCATGTGTGTTGTCCTTGCTGTAGGCTCTATAAGTTCATCTTTCATAGGCTCCACGTGATTTGAGTATCTTGAATAACGTCGCTGAGATACAACATCATTTTAATTATGCACTTCAAGGGATCAAGTTAATCATTTCAGGAAGTGATTACCTATAATAATCGTATCATAGGCTTTATGTGTGTCATTAACTGATTGACCATATTTGAAATGTTAACATAAATTTGGTTAAAATTTATGTGACAACAAATACCCCTCGTGATTTGTACAAGTACAAGTGAAATTTCTTAATTGTGCCAATCACGACAACTTCACGCTCGTATCTAAGCTTTCTTTAAATTGTGGATTGGGTTGTTTCTTGGCCTTGATCATTTGGCCCCTTGAATTATTTATTTATTTTTTAATTTTTTTTAGGACCCTTTTTGGATGATAAGGTTTTCATGTGGACCCGTTGTGTACTTGGGATTTTTTCTTTGCTAGACCATACATGGACTGCCCAAAGGATTTAACTGATGTCTTTTTCATTTTTCTGTTTTTTTTTTTTTTTAGATGGTGGAAAACAAAAACTAAAAAGAAATAATCTCAATGCTAGCTAACGCCACCACGCAAGTTGGGACTTCTTCCATCCAGAGACGGAATCAGGATTTTATTACTTGAGGGACCAAAGGAAAAAAAGTAAAAAAATAAAAAAAAATTCACTATATACACAAATGTACATGTATGTACAATATGCTATATAATTATATATACATAGAAAAAAAATTAAACGTCACAAAAGTAATTTCTAGCAGGATGAAAATGTTTTTTTTTATGCAAAATAAAAACAGAATGTAAGATGGGAACAGAATGAGACATATATTTTTTATATTGAGAGACCATTTTATATATAAAAATAATATATATGTGTGAGTGATTTTCTGACCACACTGCCCGCCTAGTAATCAGCTGGAAAAGCACTGGCAGAATAGATAGCCTCTAGCTAATCTGCAACAGAAAGAGAAGTCTCCGGCGGTGGTTCAACCACCCGGGGGCACTCTGACGATCAAGTCAGCATATCTCTCAAAGATAATCAATTGCTAAACTCACAAGCTTAAGTATTAGAAGCATACCATAGACCCATGGGGGTGCCTCTCTTTTATAGCCAACATAAACCTAGTCCCAATAGAAACCTAACTTCTATGGACTCAGGATTACTGCTAATCTTGGACTTCCAGTAAGATTAAGATAAACTCTCTAAGAGTCTCATCTTTACCCAAACTGAAGTCTTCTTCCAATCTAGGACTCTTGTCCATATCCAAGTTGAGTTCCCTCTTCATTCTAGGACTCTTGCCCTTTATCTGCTTATCTCGGATTCCGATATCTTCGGAGATAGCCTCGGCCTTGCCGAGATCACCTCGGTGTCACGACCAGGACACGTGGCACCTCGGCTAACACGTCGGCGCCACCTTACCACGTGTTGGTACTCAGAAAATATATCCCCACAACTGCCCCCTAGGTTCTATTACCTTGGCATTCTGAGGTGATAGAACCTACACTGTTCGTTCATCTGTGCCCCTCTGTCCGAGATCATACTCGCCGACCTCAAAGTTCCCTGGACCTTACTGTCTACTTGTGTCAAGTATCAAGATTCATGCCTTCCAGGCTACTTGAAATCGCACCTCCTAGCCGAGGTTCTGGTTTCATTAATTTGTAAACTCCAAGAGCTTTGCAACTGCGCATGAGCTACCATGCATACGCTCCTCAACCGTTTTGTTCATGCGTTCATCCCTTACTGGCTTGTACGCGCTTATCGGTTTGCGTCGTTTCTGCGCACGCTGCCTGACAGGTACGTCACCCAAGGTACAATTCCTTTGTCGCCTTTTTTGAGTTTTCAAGAAAGTTTTCTCTCTTTTCCTTTGTCTTCTCATTTTGCATTCTTTCATGTACTTTCTATGCTAAAACTTTTCTCTTTTCAAAAAATATCCCCAATCC